GAATAATGTCGAATGTCAAATATATAAAGGTGTAAATATAGCGATGGCTGAGTGGGCTAAAGCTGCGCTAACTGCTGTAATCTCCTCCCCAAATGTTTGGAATGGCATATCATTTTATATACTTCTATATGAATAATTTAATTCAACAACGAGAATAATTAAGTTGAAATAACGTTTATCGTTTCATAGCTGATCTTAGTGATCTTACATAAATGCAACCAGTCACCAAGTCTTAAGGAACTAATTAAAACAAGAGATATGACAAAAATATTTCCACTCAACATTTCTAAAGACAAWAATTTGTGTGAACCTATAGAAATATTTATTTATACAATTATTTTATGTATCGCTTCGTATTTATTTAATTTACATGTAGGTATTCATTTATTTGTACAATTAAAACATGTTTTATAAATGTATACATAGCAATGTAAATATTAATAGGTCAACATTTATTTTCGTAAATAATACACATTTCACACGAACCACAAGTTGGCCATCACCACTGATATAAAGTTTACCTTTTCATGGAAGTCACTGTTATAGATGTGTTAAATTTTAATAATAAATCATTACACACAAGATTTTAATTGGAGACGAAATCTATTCCTTCGGACATTTTAAAGTTTACTTATAAATTAGTTCATTTTTCTATTACGAATGGTGAAGGAATTGATTTTTGCAGAAAACGCTGCCTATTCAATACAACAACGTTATTAAAAACTAGATTAAAATATATCTAAATATTTTTGAAATATTACTGCGTATAGAACAAATTAATATATAGTATGTAAATATTATGTAATGTGAGAATGTTGGCGCCGGCATAAATCTTACGATATATTTATTATGGTTGTACGACTACTAACGTCGGTACGGGAGAAAGTTTACGTACGTATATCAATAGTCTGAATGATCAATAATTACAATCGTATACACAATATATGCCATAGACTTAATAATTATGAATAAAATAAATGAATGCGAAAATATTTATCTTTGGTGATGATAAATATTTACTGATAGATTAAATTATAATATTATCTACAGATCTGTGACTGGCTGAAAAGCGACTCTCTTGTGATGATATCAGATATGAAATAACGTAAACATATTATTAATTAAACGGCGATCAAAGTGATAGTGACCGTTTGTAATAATACTAATAATATACACTTATGGTTGGTTGATAATATACATAGAGTATAATATGATAAGCGCTCGTGAGATGAGTTGACCCGCCACACTAAAATGTTGAATAGGTCACCGTTTACAATCCCATTCAACATATTATTGTTATATTCAGCCCTTAAATTCATAATACCTATTTAATATCCCACGCACTTTTAATAACAGTCTATTGAGAATTGAATATAACCTTTTCGTTTTCGAGATTTTTTCCCAGTGGAATATCAACCAGCCATTATATACTTGTAAATATATGTAACATATAGTATGAAAACGAGAGCATATAATATATTATCTAAAACACGAATATAATCAAAATGATTTTGCACCACTCGCGTTGCATAGGCACAATTTATGATAATATATATTAGTCTGACTCGACGCAGCGCAAGGGACGTAGTAGCGTTCGATTTTTTCATTAGTGTTTAACGCAAAACAGTTTCATTTTAATTTGCATATTATTATCAAAACACTTTGTGACTAAATTTCGTTTCCGTAGTACATTATAATAATATATTATTATATTTGCGACGAATAGCATAAAATGCCTTATAAAATGTATACAGATTACCCCCCCCCCTCAACAAGTATACCCATAACTACCTACGTATTTCTTTGGAATATAATAATTTAGGACTTATCCCATCATCATATAAAATGTATATATTGTAAAGCGTTTGCATTGATTTTTGCTTATATTATACTAAAAACTGAAAAATCGGAGATCCTTTTAGTATAATATAATACTAAAGTAGTCAGTAGATGCCTAAACTACTTCCCTCCAATCAAGGTTGACACACGAGTTTAGTAAAATAAATATAATGTATAGGTATCTACTTATATATTACATCTCTACTTCACGTCGAAGTACATTTATACTTTATGTACTTCGACGTAAAGTAGAATATTTATTTGTCGTTTGAATCGGAGAAAAATATCCGGACGGTACACAAACACTGCAGATGATAGACATTTATTTTTAAACAGTGAGGTCTTATTTATGTACATTTTTAGAAGTCGGCAGTCGATATAAAATAATACGTTTTGAGAACTATGGTCTGAGCGAAACTTGATTAAAATCACACTTGCTAACAATTCTCTTCAGCCCTGGGGGACCACAGTGACAACCGAGATGAATGAAAAAAAAAAATAATCTTTTCCTATAAAATTCCTACCTACCTTCCACCAATAATTGGATGAAATTGTTTATTTTGACGGACATGCCTAATTGAAACTTTAGGAGAATACTGAGAAAAGCAAGAAAATAAAACGTCAATCTAAATTGGGTACATATTTCGTTTTTCTCGAAATCGAAATTACTTAACCCTGATCCCTAGAAAGCTTAGCATTAATCTTCGATTACGCGAACGCTGATTATTTATACTGATTTAATTCTAAGTATGTTTATCGTACGCTTTTCGGACTCCCGCTWTGTCAACATCCTATTTCAGTGAGTTATAATCACCGATGAACGTTAATTCTGCAAAACCCATGTCATCTTATCTGTACCGATAACTGATGAGAAATACTCATACAGTTTACCAGGAACAGCTTAGTTGCTAGCTTTACATGATGTAAAAAAAGAACTGCAGACAAATGAAAAATTTATTCTAGTCATATAAATAAAAAATCATGATAAGTAAATGGATGATAAATAACTTGAGATTTACTTATATAGTTATGTCTGAAGATTCCAAAAAACAATATTTTGAGAAAAGATATTATGCGTTTCAAATTTATTTTTTCTAAAATAACGTTGATATTTTAAACATTTTAAACATTTTAAAAACTCATATTATATTACTTATTAATTATTATACTTGTTATTTATTAATCATATTTGGAAATTTGTGTGCAAAATTTAACGACTTTAATTTTTCAGAAACAAAAATTGCAGTATATTAGTAAAAATGACTAACTGATCCTATATATATAGTTCCTTGATTACTACGGTTCTAGAATTTGATCAAAGTATAATATTTAAAAAAATATTAAATAGTAATTGACGAACATTCTCAAATCAACACCTTGAAAAGAATCCTACTAATTTTAACATATTGGGTGTATTATGCAAAAATATTAAAATAATAAAATCGTATTAAATGGAGGATTATTTTATCTTAAAATGTAGATCCGTACAACGCATGCTCAATAAATATCGATTTAAAAAATGTCAATCAAACGACAATATCTACAATAACGGAGTTCTAAGTATAAAATATAATGTATCTATATGATCATTAGGTTTGCCATTAAATTTCGAACTAAATCGAAAATTCAAAAAAATAAATATAATTTGTATTTTGTATCGAGGAAAATACATGGTGGCCCACGGACATGTGACAAAGGAAATAACTTTTGTTCTAATCAATATTAAAAAAAAAATTTAAATATGATAATTTATTGACATTGTGCTACATTTTTGGTATACAATTTTTTATTTTTAATACTGAAAATAAAAAAACTTAAAAATTGATGATAAAAATAAATTTCCGAAATATTCAATATAGCCAATTTGTAAATCTGATTTTGAGAGAAATTTCATGGCAAAAAAATGTATTAAAGTCAAATAGCTGGTTTTTTAAATATCAATATTATCGTTCAGTAAATTACGATCTAGTTTATGTTAGAAACATAATTTCAAAAAATATACATTTTTATATTTAAAAATGTTCATATAATATATTTAAAAAAAATTATATTTTTTTAAATTATAATGTTTCTAATATGAACTAGATCGTAATTTACTTAAAGTGAATATTGATATTTAAACAAATCAGCCATTTAACTTAGACAAATTTGTTTACCATATCAATTTCTCTCGAAATAAGATTTACAAATTGGCTATATTGAATGTTTCGGAAATTTTTTTAATTTTTTTTTTAAGATTTCTTATTCTCAATATTAGAAATAAAAATGTATACCAAAATTGTAGCGCAAGTGTCAATGAATTATATTTTAAAAAAATTGTTAAAAAAAATATTGATTAGTTTAAAAGTTATTTTTTATTTGATTTTTCAGACCTTCGTGTGATCTCCATGCGTATTGTATGGTGCCCCTAAATCCGTTGTTAGTCGCAGATCTGTAGGAAGTGTAGGCTAATAGCTCAATGCCTTGAATTCGAGCCATAAATAGATCATAATATATCTATATAAAAGTACAATAGGTACATGATAAGCATTATAATTTTTTTTTCATTTAATCTATCATAAAAACAAAACTTCTTTAATATTATAATATTGTAATTGTTGTTGACATACTATGTACAACGAGAGACATTTCAATATATGCGCGTTTAATCAATATCGCCATTTGAGGTTTGTAAAGATTATGACATATAGGTCAATACGCTGACTGACGCCAAATCCACCACGAACACTCCTAACAAAGCTAATTTAATTACAAGTAAGCTATTATTATACAATTAGTTATAATATGTTTTATAATATTGATGAATACCGAAATGTATCCTACAATGTGAACCAAAGGTTTCGTATTAAAAATGTAAATTTAATATTCATATTTAGTGGTTGAAGAGAAATTAATAATATATTAAACGTACCTATAGAATATATATTATATGGTAGATTTACACATTCGCATCACATTAAAATATACTCCTCGAAAAGTCGAATGTACTGCGTATACCATTAAAATGACGAACACTGAGTGCTTTTTGCACGTACTCTCCGACCATCATAGTATGAACGATAACGTAATAAAGTTACGCTTATAAATACGTTATATAATATAATTTAATATAAAATGACCATGTTTAATACAAAAAATAAAAAAATAAAAATAATATTTACCTTCAATAACACCGATTCGCTTAGCTTCTCGCGGTTAATTATTTTTATTGCTACATTTTTCCCAGTAACGCAGTGAATGCCGAGCTTCACTAATCCTGGAAAAAAAAAACCAAACATTTCTATATTATTGACACCATTGTAAATATTTAAGTAATATTTACGGCACATTTTTTATAAAATATCAACACATAATATATCGAAAACATGTATAATTATTAGTGCAGTCGGGTATAATCGTGGTACATGGAACTCGGATATATTAATACTAATTATAGGAAGGTAGGCATACTTATAGGTATGTGGTCGTAGTCAGACGAGTGGTGATGAATAACGAGCGAGATATTTTTAACAATATTGCGCAAAACATTTATTGTATCAAAATAAAACTGATACAAGGCATATAATTTTTATTTTAGACCGTACCCGAAACTCGATATGATTTCTTTTCATTAAAAATGATCAAGTATTATGTAAGAGTATTTTTTAATAAGATTCATTTCGAAAATCAAAGTTCAGTTCACAAACATTTTCCAATGACAGAAATGAAACGAATCAGACTTTGCCATGAAATTGGATACTTATGTATCGCTTCACTCTCCACGACAACAATAATATGATAATGTTGTATTTTTAGTGAGCAACTTTTGAAAGCAATGGAAACCATTTTTAACGAAACTCAGTTTTATATATAACATTGTAAATTATATATTTTCATAATAATTATTGATGAAAATATGAAATCATAAAAAAAAAAATATCTCTGATCAATGACTTTTGCAAAATGGGTTAAAATGGTAAGAGTACAATACCTAAAATATTAATTTTAAATTGCAATATCTATATGGCTACCTATGGGTTGGATGAAAAATTTCGATGAGTATTTAAAGTTTTGATATACGAATTATATTATTATATTCCACTCTAATCAAAAAGTATTTTTTTTAACGATTTTTATTTGAAAATGATTTATTTACTTCGATGTCATGTTCTGATTCTGTACTATATCATACAGTCTATTTATTTTATACAAGGACACGAGGTAGGAAATATTTAAAGTTGAACACTTATTATTTATTGTAAAGTATTAAACGTTTTTGGGAACGTTTCTTTTTACATTTATCAATTTTCATTTTACAAAACTACATTTAAAAAAAAAGTGTTCTTTCCATTATTATCATAATCAATGATCATTATTTAAGTTTTTTTTTCTAAAAAACATATTTAATTTCATAGTTAGAAATTAAGATATAAAATTGAGAGAATGTAGAAAAACACTCTACTTTACAATGCGTATATAGAGGTGTCCAGTGTATTTTTTTACTAATAAACATGTCACTGTAGTCATAATGTTGTATATCTATCATAAGTATTAAGTAAAAGCATCTGTTTATCTATTTATTTAAATAAAATTACTATACGAGATTAATTATTTAGATAAGATTTTTAATTTAATTTTTATGCAAGTTGGTACTTTTTCGTTTGAATTTTTCTAAGCAGTTTGCTTATTTCTATAAGCTTATTTATTATACTGTTTTGCTATTATATCATTTTAATATGCGTGTTTTAGTGTTTTACTTTGGTTGTTATTTTGTAGGTACTTATATATTATTCATTCTGTGTACCGAAATCCATTCATATTTAATACGCACGTGCTTTGTATTTTTTAATGTAAAAATGTTAACTTATTTAAATTAATATACCTATTATTGTAGCTATAACAAAAATGCTTTATTAGGAATGCATTTGCTAAACTATCTATTATTTATCTAGATAAGTTAGGTCATCTTTTTGTCTATATTGTCTATATAAATATTGTATGTGTTATCTATGTACCATATTTCAATGAGTAATTCGTCATTTTATCCAGAAAACTGTTGGTTATTATTTGCGCAACATCGTGTATGTGTTGAAATTAAATTCAATGATAAATCATTACCATGCAAAAAACGATTTTGAGCAAAGACAGCTATTAAAGTAATTTATTTTACTATTAGTATTACGGTAAGTAGGTTGAATTAATTTTTTCTTCCAAAAACACTACATTTTATTATATTATAAAATATCTAGTGGAGGGAATAAGTGGCATAATATTCAACGGGGGTCAATATTAAAACTTGCTTAATTTACAAACATTATGTTTGTGCCACACTGCCGCTCCACTCGCCAAAACGTTAAATACTTATAACTTCTAAATAAATTACTAGGTAGTTTGAAGTTTGAAATATAGTTTATTTTTCAAATGTTTTGTTTTATAATGAGAATGACTTTACATTTTGAAAAATAAAAAGATTCTGAGCCTAGCAATATTCAGTATTTTGATTTTACATTGATCAATAGTGTGTTTTTTTTTTTATTAGTTCTCACCTTATTTTGCATTAAAAAGATTAGATTTTCAATTTCAATATCTAGTTAAATTCTTTTATCGTAGGAAAGTCAATACAGCTGATGCTTCGTAAGTAAAAAATTCACAATGATTAAAAAAATCATTGGAAAAAACAAGAATTACAAAAAATCAGTTTTTCAAATTATACTAGTTAAAAAAGAATAACTAGATACTTAAAATGTTSACCAAATTTTTATTCTATAATTATTTATGCATGATATAATAAT